GTGCCTACCAGGCTGCAGGCTCCCTCCTAGGTTCCTGAGTCACATTCATCAGCGAACAGAACAAGGAAAAGACGAGTTGATGTTCTAACAGATGGGAAACAGGTAATAAAAAACAAACTTAACAAGCAAATAAGTCAGAAGATGATAAACAAACACTATAGAAAAGAAAAGTAGAGCAACATGAGGGGGTTTGCAGAGCCAGAGCTGACGGTGCAGGCTGCAGCTTTAAACACAGAGGTCAAGGTTGCCTCAGGGAGCTGAGATGTGAGCAAACACAGTGAGTGAGTGAGTTGGCCACATGGGGAAGGACTTCCGGGCAGAGAAAACAGCGACCAAGACCCTGTAGTGGGAATGTGCTGTCAAGTCCCAGGAGGTCACTGTGGCTGAGGCCCAGTGAGGGAAGGGGAGGAAGAAAAAAGTTGGAGACAAGTGGGGCTGGGGGTCCTGGGAAGGCTGTTTGGCATTAACTCTGAGTGATGTGGGACTGACTGCAGGGCTGTGAGCAGATGAGTGACATGACTGAATTTTTAAAGGATTATTCCTTATACTATGTGCATGTTTGAAATTTCCCTCATGAACAATAAAAATAAAAGGCTAACTTCTTAGTAGCTGGGTTTCAAAGAGGCCCAGTGGCTCAGACCAGGCTGGTCACAGTAGATGATGGGATTTTCCATTAAATTTGTAAGTTGAATCAACAGGATTTTTTGCTGAAGGGTGAAAGAAGGGAAGGCATCAAGAATGGCGCTAAGATTTTAGGAACAGGCGTTTGGAGATTTTTGGAAAGGTGGGTCGTTACCATCAATTGAGACAGGGATGTATGGGTAGACCAACTGAGGGGTGTATTAGTCTCCCGTTGCTGCTGTAATAAACTCAGTGGCTCAAAACACCACAGTTTTATTTATTCTCTTACAGTTCTGGAGGTCAAGAGTCTGAAACCAGTTTCCAGGGTTAGTCGAGGTGTCAGTGGGGCTGCTTCCTTTTTGGAAAATCTGAGGGGAGACTCTGTGTCCTTGACCTTTATCTACCTTTAAAGTATATCATTCTAATCTCTGCTTCCATCACCACACTGCCTTCCCCTCCTCTTGAACCAAATCGCCCTCTGCCTTGTTCTTATGAGGACACTTACATTACATGCAGAGCCCACCAGGATAGTCCAGAATAATCTCCCCACCTCAAGATCGTTAACTTCATCGTATCTGCAAAGCCCCTTGTAATATAAAGTAAAATCCACGCATTCCAGGAATTAGGACCTGCCTATCTTTGGATGCCATGACTCAGCCTACCACCCTGGGTCAATTCAGTCCGGTTTGGGATGTGTTGCATCTGAAATATCTATTAGACATCAGAGTAAACTGCTGAATATACAAGTGTGGCGCTCAGTACAGGGCCTGGACTATAGAAATACTCATTTTGGAGTCACCAGCGTACAGATGAGATTTAAAGCGGTGAGACTGGATTTAAAGCAGAGATTCAATTTCCCAACCTCCCTGGAGTTAGAGCACAAACACGTGCCCAAAACTCTGCCAACCAGATGTACCCACATCTGGGTATAGCTGTGGGCAGAGTAGATTGAAACAGCAGATGCCACCGAGGGTTCATTGTCGCCGGGGGTGCCCTGGCACCAGCTCTTCGAGGCAGCCGTGGCAGACATTCTAGAAGGAGTATCCAGGCACGAGCATCATAGGAACTCCCTGCGGTGTCTGTGCCCAACAGGCTGCAGGGGGATCTCCCCTAGGGCAGCTCTGGGTGGGACTTTGGCATAGCCTCCAGCCCTGCTTCTCTGGCTCTCCCAGAAGACTCTGAGTGATCCAATATCCTTCAACACATCCCATTTCTGCTGAGCTACCTGGATCTGGTGTGCGATGCTTTGCGATTATGAGTTTCGACCAATGTGCTCCTTACTTGAACTTTAGGAACCTGAAGCCTGCGCCTGGGTCCAGGCTCCGGGGAGTCTTTCTAGTATCCTGTCTAGAAGGGAGGTTGGGCGCCGTCTTCACAACAAACCCATGTGGCAGTTCCCATTATTTCAGTTTTGTAGATGAGAAAAATGTCAAATTCAGGTCACCTGACTCCAACTGCATTGCTCTCACCATGGCCAGAAGGGTCAGTGTCCACAGGACTGTGGGCAGGAAAGCACAGGGTGTCTTCAGGGAAGTGGATCCAAGCCTGCAGTGAAAGTTTCCAGTGGGGAGCAGTGGGTGGTGTGTTTAGAAGGAGGTTCTTATAACCAGGAAGCCCAGGCCAGAAGTTTACACTCGGTAGCAGGGAACGTTGAGGTTTCTGAGCAGAAGGGACAGGAGAGTGGATTTCATTCTCAGGTGAGGAAAGTGAAGACCCAGGTACACAGACTGTTCTTTACTTCCTGTGAGAGGACTCCAAAACATGCGTGCCTAATTCACAGACAGTGAACAGCAGAGAGTGGGAGAGGACTTAACCTCGCCAGCCACCCTGGGACACATGCTGGTGTTGGTGGATGTCTTATCCCAATTTCTAGTCAAAAGCCTAACAGTCGCCAGGGTGAATTCTGGAAATCTCAGAGACTCGCTTCAGACCCACTCACTGGCTGGGTAGTCTTTTCTTGGGCAAATCCTTCATTATCTTCCCTAAGCCAGAGTTTCTACACCCCTGAAATGAGGGTAACAGAACCTATCCATATCGGTTCAGATATAGGTTTGGTTGCTGTTGAAAGGACCCCAAATCCCAGGGGCTTAGACAAGACAGATGTTTGTCTCTCTCTCTGTAACTGTGCAGGCTGCTACTGTGTTTCCATGGCAGGGGGCACCCAGCCTCCGTCTATGGCTTGCTCTGCCATGCCCAGCGAAGGTGGCTCGTCACCACACCTTCTGGGTCCATACACCAGCCAACAAAGGGGGAGGGAATGAATGTTCTTTCCTTTCAAGTCACCCACATCACTCGGCCCCAGAGGAAAGAGAGGCCGGGAAGTACAATTGTTATTCTTGGCAACCATGAGGCCAACTAACATTCAAGGGTTCTATTACTAAATGAAGATGGGAAGAAGAGCTATATGGGGATGATGAGCAGTCTCTCTGCCTGTCTGTTTGTCTGTCTGTCTGTCTTTCTCTCCCCGCTCTATGTCTATCTAACGGACTAGTTAGAAGGATGAACAGAATGTTCTATGCAATGCACACAGCACAGCCCCTGGCATACAGTCGATGTCCAGCCCAGATTAGTTCTCTTCTCCTTCTAGATGGAAAAATGGACCCTACAGACATTTATGGAGGACCTACTCTGTGCAATTGTGATGAGACACGCAAAGAGGAAGTTCATGCAATCTCTACGTCGAGTGTTGGAGACAGATGGTGAGGAATGAATTACAACATGACTGGAGAGAGGGAAGTGCTGTAGTTGGGTTGTGCACAAAGTCAATGGAGCACAGAGAAGGGAGTTCTTACATCCACCTACAGAATTAGGAAAGCCTTACAGACAAAGGGACATTTGGAGTTGGGTCCTTAAAGGTACATACAATTTTAGCAGATAGGAAAGGAAGGGAAGAGAACTCAGGTGTTGGCATATGAAATCTTCCTGCCAACACAAATCAAAACAACAATACAGGGCTTCCCTGGTGGCGCAGTGGTTGAGAGTCCGCCTGCTGATGCAGGGGATACGGGTTCGTGACCCAGTCCGGGAAGATCCCACATGCCGCGGAGCGGCTATGCCCGTGAGCCATGGCCGCTGGGCCTGCAAGTCCGGAGCCTGTGCTCTGCAACGGGAGAGGCCACAACAGTGAGAGGTCCGCGTACCGCAAAAAAAAAAAAAAAAAAAAAAAAACCAAAAGAACAACAATAAAGCATCATGTTTTATCCAGAAGACTGACTAAAATTAGGTATAGATACAGGTACAAGTACAGATAATACCCAGGGTTAGTGAAGAAGGGGAGAAAGGGGCACCTGCCATGTACTGTTGGTGGGAGCGCACACTGGGGCAGCTTTGTTGAAACATATCAAAATTCAAACTAAAAATACATCCTTTGACCCAGCAACTCCCTTTCTGGTAATCTTTCCTACGCAGACACTTGAACAAGAGCTCAAGGCATGCAATCAAGGATTATATTTCAGCATTGTTTATAATAATAAACAACTACAACCACAACCTACAATGAAGTCAGCCTATGACTGAAAAATGGTTACATAAATGGCGAGTGGCCATCCTACAGAACACTCCGCAGCCACTAAAAGACGGAGTCAGAAAGTACGCACAGACAGAAAAGGATGACGTCCTTATATCGTTAAGTGAAAAGGGGCCACAGCAGAACAGTCTGTCCAGCATGACTGCTCTTTGTACAAAAACAGAGGCAAGTAAATAAATGAAAATAAGACCAAACCAAAAACAAATAGATGCCTGGTAACATATGTGTATGTGTGTGTACTGGGATGTATGGGAGAGATGGACCAAAATGTTGAAAGAAATTACTCTGAGGAAATGGAAGTAGAGGGAAAAGGCTTCATCTTATTCACTGTTGATAGCTAAATACTGGAAACAATCTAAATGTCCACCTATGGGCAATGGGTTAAATAAATCATGATGTGCGCACACAACAGAACACCACAGATAGGAAAACAACACCAAGACACTATTATGCGAAAAAAGCACGTTGCAGAATCCTATGTATACTATCATTTATACTAATAGTATAGGGCTTCCCTGGTGGCACAGTGGTTAAGAATCCGCCTGCCAATGCAGGGGACACGAGTTCGATCCCTGGCCCGGGAAGATCCCACATGCTGCGGAGCAACTAAGCCCATGCGCCACAACTACTGAGCCTGCGCTCTAGAGCCCGTACTCTAGAGCCCGTGCTCTGCAACAAGAGAAGCCATGACAATGAGAAGCCCGTGCACCACAACAAAGAGTAGCCCCCGCTTGCCTCAACGAGAAAAAGCCCATGCACAGCAATGAAGACCCAACACAGCCAAAAATAAAAGCAAATAAATTAATTAATTTTTAAAAATAGATACATTAGGATTGAGAAATGTAAACCTTACCACTTAAATGGAGTCAGGAGGTCAGAAGGGGGAGCTCTCATGCAGTGCCACTCATCAACTATAGGAAGAATTGTTGATTACAGACCCCAACAGAATCATCCACAGGAACAATCATCAATCATCAACAGGCCACAGCAGGAGAGATGTACACTGCATCTTCCGTAAGAAATCGACCACCCCAGCAACTCAGCCAATGAGAAACTGTCATCACCTTGAATTCTCACTTTTCTCTGACGGACTTTCATTCAAAACACCCTCTCCCTACTTCCTCCTTTTTCTCTATAAAATAAAGTTCCTCTCCTTCATTTATTGGACTTGTCTATGGCTTTTGCTCTAGCCTGCTTGTCCCGAACTGCAGTTCCTCTGCTATTCCCAAATAAACCCATTTTGCTGGTAAAATAACTGTCATCTCTAAGGGCAACAGAAATAAGTTTTAATAGGTCCTCCTGCCACCCCATTCCCAGCCTTTGTGCTGAAGCTGAGGCATCAGGGCAGACTCTGCTCTGTGGTACATGGCAGGGGTTCATTCAGCTCAGCTGCACAGATGTTCAGCAAACCTGCACCAACCCAGCAGCTCAGATATGAAGAGAAGTGCAGTGTAGAAGTACCAGTCTTACTCTGCAGCCAGACGTTTTAGGGGGTGGGTGTAAAATGATATTGCAATCCACCAGCATTCTGTAAATAGTACGGACTGATTATTTTGGGGAAGCACGGAAGTTGGGTTAAGACATTCACTTACGAATTTAAGGCACAGTCAGGATGAGTGCTGTGTTGCACACACTGTAAGAGCTTCACTGGTCTATAAAATGAAAAGAAGTAATATTTAAGGGATTATTTTAACGACTTTCATTCATCAAACATTTATGGGGGGGCCTGCAAGGTACTGGAGATACAAAGTCTTTGACCTCGAAGAGCATAGTTTCTTTTTAAAAATATTAGCCAGCATTTATTGAGCACTTACTATGTACCAAGAAATCTGATTACATATTTTACATAGATTATGTCATTTAATCCTCACAACAGCCAAACAAAGCAGGTACTATTATCATCTCCAATCTACAGTTGAGAAAGCTGCCCAGAGGAACTTGCCCAAGTTCTCACAGTAGCAAGCTGTGGAGCTGAACTTGAACCTCCACTCCAGAGCCCGAGCATGGAACCACTTCTGTTAAGGATGTATGATTTTGCTTGGAAAAACCTCTTGATAAGAATTTCGGGCAGGTTGGACTCGAAGCACACAGGTGATGGCTGGTGCCCAGGCTTCAGTGAAGAAAGTTAAATTGCTGTACAGTAGAGGTAGAAGATGTGGGGTCCAGGCAGCCAGGACGGAAGGGAAAGCAGCAGTGAAGACAGGATCCAGGTAACAGTGGGAGGAAGGCCAAGGAAGGATCTCTGGGTAGGGGGACCAGAGGGGACTCTGGAAGAACAGGAAACAGGTTCGGTCTATGGCACGCTATGTGACCCCTCCGTAGGACTCCCTACTTCTCAGTCTACACTATTCAGATTTTGTGTGTGTGTGTGTGTGTGTTACCGGGCCTCTCACTGTTGTGGCCTCTCCCACTGCGGAGCACAGGCTGCGGACGCGCAGGCTCAGCAGCTATGGCTCACGGGCGCAGCCGCTCCGCGGCATGTGGGATCTTCCTGGACCGGGGCACGAACCCGTGTCCCCTGCATTGGCAGGTGGACTCTCAACCACTGCGCCACCAGGGAAGCCCTATTCAGATATTTTTTACAAGAGTAGTTTGTTATTGCTGTGTTATGTCCCCCCAAAAAGATGCATTGAGTTTCACTGGGTCTGGATCAATACAGCACTAAGCAGAAAACAATCAAGAGACAAGAGAGGCTCTGAAGAAAGACATCGCCAAAATTTGCAGGAATTCTGGGGAGAACTTTCAACTGCCACAGGACAGAGGTCAATGTCACCTGAATTTTGAGAGGCATCTAGCTTGAGTCTGATTTTTTAACCTTGTTCGCTCTCCCATGTTAAGCCTGTTGTTATCGCCTCTGGGCTCCCAGGAGCAATAAAAACCCTACCTTAACACAGAAAGAGCCCACGAGCAGTACAAAAATGGGAGTTGGGAGGCTGAGCCAGGCAAGGGAGGAGCCCTGAAACCAGCTTTGGTAGGGTAAACTCGAGCCAGTAAAAGCAGGCTGAGACCCTGAGGCTCACAGCAGTGAGTCAGGAATGAGACCCTGGCTGGGCTCCCACACTTGACCTGATGACTTATAAAAAGACAGCCTCCTTGGGGGAGGTCCTGGACCAAAGCAAAGGGGTCATAACTGTGGAATTTTTAGCCATATTTTTCTCTATCATTGAGCTGTTTTAGAATAAGAATTACCTTTTATTTAATTTACTAAAATCTGATGCCTTGATTAAGAATTAGAGTTCTATAGTAGAAAGAAAAGAGGAATCTTCAGGGCCACACAATGCTGGATTCAAAATTCAGCTCTGTCACTGAGTGGAGACCTTTGGGAACTTGCTCAACCTCTCTTAACACTTAATTTACCCATCCATGAAAAGCGGATATTTATATAAACCTTAAAAATAGACAAAACTAGGGCTTCCCTGGTGGCACAGTGGTTAAGAATCCACCTGCCAATGCAGGGGACATGGGTTCAAGCCCTGGTCTGGGAGGATCCCACATGCTGCGGAGCAACTAAGCCCGTGAGCCACAACTACTGAGCCTGCACTCTAGAGCCCGCGAGCCACAACTACTGAGCCCGCGTGCCACAACTACTGAAGCCCGCACGCCTATGGCCCGTGCTCCACAACAAGAGAAGCCACCGCGGTGAGAAGCCTGCCCACCACAACAAAGAATAGCTCTCGCTTGCCTCAACTAGAGGAAGCCCGCGCATAGCAACGAAGACTCAACACAGCCAAAAGTAAATAAAAATAAAATTTTGAAAAAACAGACAAAACTAACCTATGCTCTTACAAGTCTAGAGAGTGGTTACTATTGTAGGCAGGTGGGGATCCTGAAAGGGAAGCCAAAGGGAGACTAGGGGTGCTGGTTGTGCCCTGTTTCTTGATCTACATGCTGGGTACATGTGTATGTTGAACTGGTGAAAATTCATCCACCTGTATACTTACGGTTTCTGCATTTTTTCTGTACACAGATTATATTTCCAAAAAAGAGTATGTGCTTCACTTTGTTTTCAAAAGAGGGTGATAACAACACCTAACTTGAGAGATTCCTGAGAGCATTAGCAATAATAGATGAGTAAAATGGTACAGCCTTAAGCTGTGGAAGAACAGCTTTGAGGGGCTTGTTCTCCTGGGGAGTCCAGAGTAGGGGGAGACCCATACTTCCAGGGGCTTTGCTCAGGTGGGACAGTTACCAGGTCCACGGAACTTTTGAGACAGCAGAGGGCAACAGGGCCGCCTGGACGGTCACGGACACTGGCAAAGACTGCAGATGTAATGTGCACCCTGCCATACCCACAAACGTTCGGGAAAGCCACTAAGTCCTTGCAGTGTTGGACTCTAGCCCCTAAGGAGACAAACAGGCCTGCAGACTCAGGTGCCGACACAGAGAGAAGAAGGAAGCAGCAAGGTGAGTAATTCCCAGTCCAGGGGAGGGCTTTCAACCGTTGCAGGGTTTGAGCCAAATTTACCTACATTTCCAAGTATCAGGAATGCCCTGAAACAATCTCTGATTATACGTATATAAAGTGCCTGGCCCATAACGTGCTCAATAAATGGTAGCTATGATGCTTTTCCTGTTGGTCCACAGTCACCATGCATCTCTCTGTAAGTATCTCAAACTCCACCTTAGCACATGTCATGTGCAGTGTGGCATCCAGAGATGCAGGGACCATAGTCCCTGTTCTCAGATGACGCACATGCAGTAAGCGAGTGAAGAGAAAACTAGACATACACAAATGACAAAGGGCTGCTGTCTGTCCTTTAGCGTCATTAAAAAGGACTCTGGACAGAAGTGGGCGGGGGCCAGGTGGAACCCTGGCCAGAAGGCCCTCCCAGTCCCCACACCCAGTGACAACCCAGAAGGCACAGTTCCATGGCCTTTGGAGCTGATCTCTGAAAAACCTTTTCGGCAACCCTCTGCTCCTCCTTTGAATATATACACTGACTATAATATGCCACCTACTTGTAGTCATTGATACAGCTATACTGGAAACCCATTTTCTCCAGTCTCTCTTCCAGGATTTTCACACTGCCTTCTCCACAGGATTCCCTGAAACACAAAAACATAAAAACTATCAAAATAGAAGGAGAAGAGGATGGGGGGAGCTGTTTCTGTGTTAATCAAAAAATATTTTGACCGTGTGCTCCCTAGATGTTCTCCTCTCTGGAGAAATACGTGGCAAATTCTCTGGACCCAAAAAGGCTGCCGGCAGTCAAGCCGCGGGTGCCCAGGACAGGGTGCTCTGAGCCTTCAAACCTGCCCGAAGTTTTGCGAGTCACACGCCTTCGGAGGGCTTCTGCCGGCGCATGCGCGGTGCTCCACAGGGCTCATCGTAGCCCCACCCGTCAACGCAGCACTGTGCTTGTGCGCCGAGCCTGACCAAAGGCGAGTGCCAGCCTGTTCAACCCAGAGTGTATTAAGTTAAGCTTCAAATGGAAACAAAAACATACATGTCAAAAAATACTAGAAAACTCAACTCAACAAAAGGGAAAAAAACCCAAATCTCACATCACTAGAGATAACTGCTGCTAACACTTTGGTGTACATCATTCTAGACTTTTACAGTATATTTATTCCCACAAGACTTTTAAAATATTTCAATGTGATTCTGTTGCCCAGCGCATTTTGTAATATGCATTTGCCCATGTCTGTGTCTATACATATATACCTCTCTGCCATTATTCTTAATTCCTGCCTGGTCTACCTTACATAATCAGAACACAGTTCATAAAAGCAGTCGCCTCTTGTTAAAGACCAAGGTTCATTCCTATATTGCAATGTCATTGACACTACAAAAAAACCTTGTTGAAGTTTCATTTTCATACACATGCTTAATTATTTGTTTCCTTAGCATACATTCCTGAAAGTAGGTTTTCTGTCACCGAGGTTTTGAATGCATTTTCAGGCTCTTGACAGCACTGCCACACTGAACCCCACGTTGACCACCCCAACAGAGTATAAGATGTCTATCTCCCCACGTTCTCATCAACAAGGATTCTTGCCCTCTCGACGGTCAGAGTTAAGCAGGCGGATTGATAAAGGCAAAGAGAGGTGGGTACAACACTGCCAGCTGTGATGAGTAGGTATGTTATTCACGTTGCAGACAGGATCCGGCCTCAGTTTACCTGGAGTGGGAAGGTGAACAGCCTCCCCACTATAAAATTAACAGAGAGGGAGTGTACAGGGAGGAAATGAGCCATTGGAGGAAGTTTTCACAGAAGTGGAACTCTAGGCATTACGGGAATGAAGAGGGTAAGGTGTTGTGTGACATCATGTTTTAGAACCTTGCCAAAATCTGGGACTATGTCCTTCTCTGGGCCAATTTCACTACTTAGAACTTTTTGGTAAGCAATGACATGGAGGTTTCAGGACACCTAGACACAGAGCTCAGTCAATGGGTTATTTAACCTTTTTTTTTTTTAATAAAAGAAATCAAAGCAGTGCTAAACACAACTAGCTATCAGCCATGTGATTTTTCACTCTCTATGATTTTTTCTCCTAAAATCTAAGCAGTTTGGGAGCCCCATTTTCTTAGCTCATGAACTGCACCTCCATCCTGTGGCACAGATGTGGACAACCAGGTGTTCTTACCCCTTTATTATCTCTCCTGACACAGGAATAATGTGCTGAGATGACAATGAATTGCAATTTCCTTATCTCATTAAAAACAGATTCAAAGAAAACCAAAATAAACGAATGTGACCTAATGAAACTTAAAAGCTTTTGCACAGCAAAGGAAACCATACGCAAGACAAAAAGACAACCCTCAGAATGGGAGAAAATATTTGCAAACGAAGCAACTACAAAGGATTAATCTCCAAAATATACAAGCAGCTCATGCAGCTCAATATCAAAAAAACAAAAAACCCAATCCAAAAATGGGCAGAAGACCTAAATAGACATTTCTCCAAAGAAGAAATACAGATTGCCAACAAACACATGAAAGGATGCTCAACATCACTAATCATTAGAGAAATGCAAATCAAAACTACAATGAGATATCATCTCACACTGGTCAGAATGGCCATCATCAAAATATCTAGAAACAATAAAGGCTGGAGTGGGTGTTGAGAAGAGGGAACCCTCTTGCACTTTGGTGGGAATGTAAATCGAGACAGCCACTATGGAGACCAGTATGGAGGTTCCTTAAAAAGCTAAAAATAGGGCTTTCCTGGTGGCGCAGTGGTTGAGAGTCCACCTGCTGATGCAGGGGACACAGGTTTGTACCCTGGTCCGGGAAGATCCCACGTGCCGTGGAGTGGCTAGGCCCGTTAGCCATGGCCGCTGAGCCTGAGCGTCCGGAGCCTGTGCTCCGCAACAGGAGAGGTCACAACAGTGAGAGGCCCGCGTCCGCAAAAAAAAAAAAAAAAAAAAAAAGCTAAAAATAGAACTACCACATGACCCAGCAATCCCACCACTGGGCATATACCCTGAGAAAACCATAATTCAAAAAGAGTCATGTACCACAATGTTCATTGCAGCACTATTTACAATAGCCAGGACATAGAAGCAACCTAAGTGTCCATCAACAGATGAATGGATAAAGAAGATGTGGCACATATATACAATGGAATATTACTCAGTCATAAAAAGAAACGAAATTGAGTTATTTGTAGTGAGGTGGATGGACCTAGAGTCTGTCATACAGAGTGAAGTAAGTCAGAAAGAGAAAAGCAAGTACCGTATGCAAACATGTATATATAGAACCTAAAAAAAAATAGTTCTGAAGAACCTAGGGGCAGGACAGGAATAAAGACGCAGATGTAGAGAATGGACTTGAGGACATGGGGAGAGGGAAGGATGAGCTGGGAAGAAATGAGAGACTGGTATTGACATATATACACTACCAAATGTAAAGCAGATAGCTAGTGGGAAGCAGCCGCATAGCACAGGGAGATCAGCTCGGTGCTTTGTGACCACCTAGAGGGGTGGGATACGGAGGGTGGGATAGGGAGGGTGGGAG